AATGTATAGCTTACTTTTGTTTAATAAAGCGCACGCAACTAGCCTGACAGAGGGTTAATTAAAAAAAAAAAAAAAAGATAATTGATATAAATAACAATAACTATATATTAATAAAAGTCTTGTATCTAATACCGATCATGGTTTAAAAAAATTTTTTTTAATATTTTTTAAGTCTTGATTATTTTAAAAAAACTTGATCTGTTAAATAATAAAATATTAATTGATTGTAATGATTAATATTGATTATTATTAATTTCTTTTTTTATAAATTGATTTATATATATAGTATATATATTTTTTCTTTTTAAAAAAATTTTTTTTTGAAAAATAAAATAGAATATTAATAAAAAAATTATATTTATTTTATTTACAATATTATTTGTATATTGTAGCTTGATATTGAATTAATTAAGTTGTAAAGTTTTAACTACATTTGTTTTTTTCTAAATTACAAATTTTCAATAAAAAATTTTTACTTAAACACCACTAGCAACCCTTGTTAAAAGTATTCCATTACTGTAATTAGGTCTAATTGCCAAGCCACCTCAAATTTCAATGTTTTAAAATACAGTATCTACAGTATACTACAAAAATCCAACCGGCTATTTATCCGAAGATTTATCGTCATCAGCTATCCGTCGATCGTGAAAAAAGAAAAAATGCGGGTAATTGTTACGGGGGCGTCTGGCCTTTTAGGCCGTGCCATATATAAAGCCTATAGCGGGTCTAGCCATCAAGGTAAGGTTACTAGTTTGTGGAGAAAAAGGAAGTTTTCAAGTACGTTCTTACTCTTTCCGACGTGTTTATCTATATAGTACTCGGTCTTGCTAGAAATCGCGCGAGAAATGGCTTGAAACAGGTGACATACTTTTAATAACTTTTAACGACTCGTGTATTTGTGGCTTGTTTTTTGAATGACAAAACCATATACAGATCGATTTGACCAAAAAAGAGGCATTGGAATCTTTGGTTCACGAATTTAAACCGAATGGTTATATGATTTTTATGTTCAACCGCAAAAGACTCGACTTATTCTAAAAAAAATTTGATTCACTAGTAATCATTCATGCCGCGGCTGAACGGAGGCCCGATGTTGTTGAAAAAAATCGGGACGCCGCTTTCGAGGTAATCGCACAAATTATATATGCTATTTCGTGTCATCACATGGGTTAATGGCTAATGCGCACTTTGCATATTTACTAATATCTTAGCTAAACGTAAATGTTCCCGCTCATCTCGCAGAATTATCTAAAACCTGCGGATTTTTGTTAATTTATATCTCTACGGACTACGTGTTTGATGGAAAGAATCCGCCCTATGATGTGGATGACAAACCAAATCCATTGAATCTTTATGGTATTGGGCATCGGTTGCACTTTATCATTTTGTTTAGCATATGAAGGAATAGGAATTTATTTATTTTTTTGTTCTCTACAAATGATTAACTAGGAGAAACAAAATACAAAGGCGAACTCATTATTCAAAATATTAACCCACAAGCCATCATTTTACGAGTTCCACTTTTGTAAATATATTTCACTTAAACATGCCGTGATGATTGATTAACAAGCATCCGACTTATTATATAACATTAATTGTATAGGTACGGTGAAGTGGAATATCCGGATGAATCTGCAGTCAATATTTTGGCTGAAGCCGTGAAGGTAGGTATTTTTACATTGTCGGGTGTTCTTTTTTTTTTTTGATAATAGCGACTCTTTTCTTCAATTAATAGAATTCGTCAGAGATGACGAAAATGGACAATTATGCAATAAGATATCCCACCAATGGTATAAAAATTTTTTATTTATTTTATTTTATTTTTTATTTTAGTTTTAATTTTTTGTGTTAAATTTGATTGTTTAATTCACGGTCACTTAATTGTAGTACAAGATGTGGCTAGAGTCATCAGGGATATCTCGGGTAAAAAAAAAAAAAAACGTATTCTCATATTTCCATTAAGGAATTGATCCTTGTGTAATCTCTAATTTTTTTTTTGCAGAAAAACATGATCAGAATATTCCGATTTCTGGTGTGGTGCATTTTAGTGCAAACGAGAGTTTTACAAAATATCAGATGTGTGGTGAATATTATTAATGATACTTTGATTGTTTATTTAATACTGCGTGGGATAAAGATTCACACGGTGTTGTGTAAATCTTTTTCTTTTAATCAATCAGAGGTATTTTCTAGGATCATGCGACTCCCTATAGACCATCTTATACCAATAGATCATGCACCCGTTACGGCAACTGGTAGCTATCGTCTCATGTAAAAGGTATTATATGTCCAATGGTTGTTAACCTTCTGAATTCGATTTTTCCAGCAAATCGGCCGTACGATTGCCATCTGCTGAGTGAAAAACTTGCTGGTCTAGGGATTGATGTGAATTGGGTTAAATTCGAAGACTGGTGGAAAAACTATTTGAGTGTTGTTGCCTGATCATTTGATATGGTTATTGGTTTTATCTCGTGTGCCATTTGTGATTAGGATCAAGTTGTGTTGCTATGATTTATGATTCGATCAGGATATTGCCTTGAAAAACAACAACAACTTTAATATCTTATTCTTGGCATTTGATGATCGATCTTTATAGTAATACTGTACTGTATATACAGTGTATGCATTATATTACAATATGCTGTATACAGAAGACAATTTAAATTAATTTGAATTTTATGTACTGTAACCTTTATTGTGTTGTATAATAATAAAGTCTAATGTAAAGTAGATTTCTCTGGAAATTCTTGGTCAGTGCATCATATGATGGACGCGTAGAAATAACATTACTAATAGTGTTGCTATTCACTATTGATTGCCCATGCTAAGAATGAGAATTCCGAAATTAGATATATTAATAAGTTGCCATCTAGTGTTCCTTCAAGATAACACATGTTTAAAGTAGTCTAGTCTTTCTTTTTGAATAAATCCCAAATCGGTAAGACATTGATGGGTGATTTATATTTGTGTACTACGGAACATAGTCTATGTTAATGAAGTTTGATACGATCCGTATATGCATACAAAGAAGGAAGAATCTCTTTCCGAGATACAATATATAATAAATTTACCTTTCCTTGCATTGCATCCACATTAAATTCCATCGTTGCATATTTCCCGTTAAGTGCACAGATGAAATTCGAATGTACAGGAGATCTCTTCTATCGAAGATTTTCTGTTTTTTTTTTTTTTTGTTTTTTGGCGGGATTCTAATTTATGTTACATTCTCATCCACTATTACTCTTTGAGGAATGAGCCTTGACTCACTCATGGTTTTGGAGGGAATTCCGTAACTCCGAGTATGAATCGAAAATTGTAAAAATAACATTTTATTTTGTTGTCGGACCGATCTTTTCGAAATCGAGACTCATTTGCGTATATCGACTTCCTACAACCTTCTGAAACTTGATCTCATAAAAATTAAATTTTTGTAAAACGTAAGTTACTCATCTGATTTCTTCCCCTTTGAAATTATCAAACACTCGTTTATTTCTTAGTCGTCGTTGACGTAAAAAAAAAAAAAAAAAAAAAAAAAAAACCAGTAGTAGCGTCTCAACAATGAGCTTGTCCAATGTTTACTATTTGCACGCGTTAATCACTTGCCCATCTTTCTTATTATTCGATGATAAACGCGATGCATAATGACGTTTTGATAGAGTGCAGTTAGACAAATGTTGAATGGAGCCTAATTTGTCGCTATTGTTGTTGAAAATACCGGTCGGGTTTTGTGGGCTAATCTGCAGTACACTATTAGCCATCTTGGATAAGGAACGTCTGATGTTTCCAGAAGAAAGGAGAACGGAAATGTTTTAAAATGTTTTCGTAGTGGTTTCGAATTTCGAAATGTTAAAATGACAATAGTGTATCATGTAAAATGAATTAATAAAGAAGAAAGTTTCACATGGATGGTATGGGGTGTTGTAAATGACATTCATCGTTCTTTTTCTCCATTATCGCGCATACATGTACACATGCCGTGACGCATAGCACCATGTATGTGCATATGCAATTCGTTTGTGGAATGAGAAAAAAGAAGGGGGGGACAAAGAAATGGAGAGAAATACCATACGTGGCTGCTGCATCTGTACGTAAGAAAGAACGTTGTAATGATACAATATGATGAAACTATACAATAAAGTTTAAAATCCGTAAATGCATGTACTGTACGGTATCAAGGAGTTCTCCAAGTTAAGGAATATTCACCTACCTAATGAACCAATGGGATATCCGGATTCATTTATCTGGTTATCTTATCCCCAAGATAGAAATGAAAAAATTAAATGAGAATAATGGAATCTATTTTTATCCATTGTTCAATGCAACCATGATCACAACGGAAAACGCTACGTCGAGGACGCGACATCGGTTGGGCTTCCCGTCGAATCATCTTCCTGGAACAATGTGTGCCTTCTACCAAATGACGGCGTGCATGTGTTAAAGCAAAGTCTAGTTTCATGAATGTTCCGTTCACAATACATCCCATGCGAGAATAACTCCTTATAGAAATGAAAAATTTTCGCTTTGTATAGTAAAGGCATCGTGTCAATGCATGACAAATAGTTCATGGTCCGTGAATGATTCTCTCTCCCCATACCTGCTAATAGTAAAAATAAATTCCTTGGGAAATGACTTGTTTGTTCATCTTTTCCTACGCGGGTCGTCGATTTAACGGAAGTCTCCGCCCATTCTGGATTAACCATAATCAGAAATTAGCCTGATCTTTTTTTTCCAACAATTGCGATATTTTTTAAAAGTATATACGGTAGATACAGTATTTTTGTTTTTAAAAAACCAACTACCGTACACAGTTAGCGTCGAGATTTGAAACACAGGAGTCGTTCAAACGTCAACCGAAAGGACCATTATAAAGAAAATCAAACATAAATTTCACGCATAACTTTATCACTGGCTTACGGGATTGCATATGATATGCTATGCAAACACCGCCGTGAGTTAATCACAACCAAATATATATATATATACCCACCATTTCTCCTTTTCAAAGACCTCACCACCCCTGAGTGCAAAAAAAAATTTTTATTTTTTCTTTAAATTTCTTTCGTATTTAATTATTCTTATCAGAAGATTATTGTGATTCTCCCTGTAAAAAAAAAAAAAATCTTATAGAACTTGTATCCTGTCTATATAAAATATTTGATATATTTGTAGCATACTTTTTTTAACCTAATCTTGTGATAAGAAATTTAGAACACCAAGAAATTTAAAGGAATTACCCATTCATCTCAACGAACATATTACGAAGAAAAAAAAAAAAAAATAATAATAATCTAACGAATTACTTTGAAAAAAAAAAAAAAAAATTTTTTTTTTTAGATCATCTACGAAAAAAATAACGTATTTATTATCGCGAGTACAATCAATCCAATCATCACGATGCCTGAAGCAACACCACTTACCATTCGTCCCTCGTCTGTCTATATTTCTTCATCCATCTACACCTCTTCGCCCACATCTTTCGTTCGCTCCACTTCCACCCACGAAATCTCCAAACCTACTTTTTCTCCCACTCCACGTCTTCAGTCCTCTTCCGCCTTAACACGCCCGAGCACCATCTATACATCTGCAAACATCGATCAATCATTCAAGGCAATCCGTCGTCAACGAACCCGGAAGTCCAATAATAATCCCTCTCGTCGCGGTACCCGCAATGTCCTGAACCAGACTCTCGACAACTTCTACAATATCCTACGACGCACTAAAACCGACCAGATGGTGAAGAGTGCTAAAACTTGGGTCAACGAATATGAGAATTATCGAAAATCGGTCATTTACGAAGAGAAGGAATATGAAAAATATCGATCGAGCATGATGATGATTGACGAAGATGATGACATCTATGGCAATAAGAGGAGTGAGTGCGAAAAGTGTGGAAGCCGAACGTACGATAATTCCACGCATAGAACTACTACCCATGACAACTCGTACTCCTATAGAAATTCTATGTACGACCGTTCATCATCATCATGTTTACGTGGAGTTTCGTCAGGTGTCAGCGGACGAAGACAATTGAGCAAGAATAGTGTGGGTGCAGAGGAGCAAAACTCTGGTGAGCCACTCTATTCTAATTATTTCTGAACATACAGGCTTGGTAAAATTCCTTTCAACCAACATATTCCGTAACATTCCATATGAACAATTAAATATATACATATATATATTACTATCTCTCAAAAAAGTATCATTTTTCATTCCTTAATTATCATCTATTGCCTCTTTTTATTAATTTGACTTGACGTCAGATTCCACGAGAAAACCCTGTCACACATCACACCCCTGTATATTTCTCCAATTTTCACTACATTCTTTCCCTTACATTTCGGAATTCAATTCCCCAATTTTCCTTCTCGGTCGACTCTGATTCATTATTGTCAATTTGAGTTGCATTTAAATTTGCAAGATGGTAATTTTATATCACCTCTCTTTGTTTTCTTTTACTTTATTTGGTTGGTTGGTTTTGGGGAAAGTAATTGGGTTTTGAATTTAACTGTAAATATTTTGAATATATGCATATACTTTCACTTCCATTGTTTGTTATTATTAATATATAAGACTTATTGGATTGGCCCTGGTGGCGATGCTGGGAGTTGATTAGGCGATTGTGGTTGTAAGGAAATTTGTAAAGTGCGTTAAAGCACCTTTTTAAGGATGTTAAAAATAAATAAATAAAATAAAAAATTACTTTTTATGAAAATTCGTTTTTCCTTTCATAACTGAAAAAAATCTAAGTGAACATGTGCGACAAAGTAAACTAATTAAGAAATTGCATTGGTTATATAAGATACTATACAGTATATTCAAATTCGAACTAAGGCTTTATAAAGCTTATAATGTATATGCTAGTGCGGCATACTTATTATTTTTTATTATAGGTTTATTAAAAGCATTAAAAGCTCTTTAAAAACTACAAATAGTCAAAATATTTTTTAACTTGAATTTTACGGTTAAATTATTTTTAAATTTTGTACGGTAAAGCAATCCGAGAATTATTTGGTTATATCTATAGTATTTAATATACTATAATATGATCTTTTTTTTAAAAAAAAAAATTAAAAAAAATACTGGTTTATCTACAGTATATTTTATTCATAAATAAAAAATCTTACAAAATCAAATCCTATAATAAAAAAGAAGCAATATATTAAAATTATTATTATTATTTTTTTTTTATAATAATTTATTAAATCAAGCTAGTAATATGTATAATTATCTCAATCAATTATTTAATACAAAAGATACTTGATATTATATTGTATATATGGTAGCTTACAAAAGTTTTTCATCACCTATCAATTTTTTATCAATAAATATACAGTATATAAAGGTCAAAAATTTTAAACCAATTAAAATCATTAAAAAAAAATCCAATTTTTCTTTACTAATTATCTAGCTACACATAAAAAGATATTTGTTTAAAAATTTATAACTTTTTGATTAATAAAGTCTTAATATTTTTCTTTAAAATAATCTGAGAAGTATCTTCAAAAATTCTTTCTATCTCCTTTCTCTTGTTTACAAATCTCTTTAATCAAAAATATGATTTCTAGTAACTAAAAAATTCAGGTAAATACCTTTATTATTGATAGTAAAAATGTTATTAACTAGTTAAAAAATATTTAAAAATATTTTTATTTTTGAAGTAAGTTATTTATAAAGATTTTTCATAATAAAAAAATTTATTTCTTTATTATTAATTATTTATATTCTTTTAAAACTTCCACTTTTGCAATTTTCTAGAAAATCTTAGTTATCTTAATTTAATTCTAAATCTTTGAATATTATAATTTTTATAAAAATTAATTGATTAATACAAAACATATAATTTTTAAATTATGAACAAGTTTCTATTTATTATGATTATATATTTCAAGAATATTATTAATAACAAAAAATAAAAGTCTATAAAAATATATTTTTTTAATTAAGCAAATTCTTAAAAAAAAACAATTCTAATAGAAAAAAAATAAAAAATATATAAAATATAATAGTTTCATTTTTAAACAAGTATCTTAAATAATAAAAAGACTTTTTTAAAAGAAAATTAAGGTTTTTAAGTTTTTATTCTAATTAAGTAAAGTTAAATATCTCCTTAATATTACTGTTTTAATTAGGAAATAAATTCAAGTCCCCAAATAAAAAATAGAAAATAAGATCATTTATTCTAAAAACTCAAAGTAATAAGATTTTTAAATAGTTTTATTTCTAGTAATTAATAAATTTCTTAGATAATTTAAAATAAAAAATATTTTAATTAGGTAAAAATTTTTGAGAAAAGATTATTTATATAAATAAAAAATTTTTAAAGAAATTTAAATTGAATTCTTTATTTATTTATTTTTTTTTTGATTTTTCAGTATATTAATTTAATAATTTAAAATACTTTATAATAATAAACTATAAGTAATAATTTTGATAAATAAAGATTCTCATAAATTAAATATTATTTTTAAATATGACTTAAAATATTTAGTAAAAATTTATTTTATTTAATTTGAATTAATTTTAATAAGCTTTTTATATTTTTAAGTAATATAATTTTTAACTAATAATATAGAAAAAAATTTTTTTATTAACTCGCTATCAGGTTAATTATGTATGCTTTATTAAATATAATGTAGGCTATACTATTTACAGTATCGCTAAAACTAGAATACTAATTAACTCACTTATCTTAATTTGTTATCAAACTTTAAGTACAACTTTGGAAGTAATTTGTTACTCCATTTATAGTTTGGGTATATACTTTTTTACTATAAATATTATTGCCTATAGTCACTACTGCAGATTACTAATCAAAGTTTTGACCAAGCCCAAAACCTAACCATTTTATTCCACTTTTAACTTCCATTATTATCATATTTGATAAATCTTTTCCTAAATATTTTTTTTCCATTTTCTTTTTTTTTTCTCTTGGCTTTCTCACTTTTCTTGTTGGATAAGACTTTGTGGATCTTCTTATTTTATCTTTCTGAAAAATTTCTCAAGCTTTTTTCCATTCTATTACTTGTTTACATTGTTTGTTCCACATTTCTTTCCTGAAGTAATTTAAAATCTTCTTTTGATACTGGAGTATTTATTTTTTGATGACTTTTTCTATCTTTTTTCTTTTATATTTGAGTTTTTTTACTTCTCTTAATAGATCTCTTTTAATCAGCCCTGAAAGAAAATGGATTAAGTCTTGACTATTTTTGAATACACTTCTTATTAACTTTGTTGTTCATGCATCTATTTCTCTGATTTCTTTTTTATCTACTGTCAGGATATTACTGCATTTTTTTTAAGCTTAGTCTTTTTGCTTCTATCTTTCTTTCACAAATTCTTGATATATTATCTCTACATCTCTTGGCCAGGCTTTTTTCATTATATTTTTATATCTTGGGTATTCCAAAAGATATTCTATTGTTTTCTTCTATTTTCTATATGCTAGATAGTCTTCTTTGTGATATAGATCTGGTCTCCTGATTATTAGTTTGGTTATTATCGATAGTTCATTATTAATTAACTTTATCAGAAGACTTTTTTGCTGCGAGCTTTTAAAGAAGATATCCTACGTGTTTTCCCTTTTTAGTTTTTTCCATATAATATCCCATAAATAGTTCTGTTGATCTTCTATTTGAAGATTCTATTTGTCCTTAGTTTGGTTTTGTTGTGACCAGCAGTATATTGTTGTTTTATTATTTATCTTTTTTATGAATTATCTTATGGAACTATCCAGTATTATATTCTATCATTTGACTTCTGTAATGATCTTATCAAATTTAAGGTTCTTTCACTGGATTGTTGGAAGGTTTGGTGCTTTTTTAACCAATTTGTCTGTTATATCATTTTTTTTAATGTTGGTATGTGCCTTGACTTTAATCAACTTCAATTTTATATTTTTTGTTTTGATAATATTTAGCATCCTTGTCCAAAGGGACCAGTTTTTTTCTTTAAACCATCTTTTATGAATAATTTTTGGATCATTATTTTCTAACTGTTTCTATTTAAATATATATTTTTGACTATCAGAATAGATTTTAACTGAGCTTTCTACTGGTATTACCAATAGGATTATGACTTTTGCTATTAGCTCTGCTCTTGTAGATGATGGATAATTTTGTATACCTGTCTGGAGACTACTTCCTTGACCTTTACTACTTGTTTAGATCCATGCCATCCCCATTCTAACTGATTCTTTTCCATAATTTATTAAGGATTCATCTGAGCAAAACTGGAATTTCTTTTGTTCTTCAAGGTTCCTCTATAAAGTTTCTTTTAAATGGTCTTGATAGATTTCTTCTTGAATGTGTTCTTCAATAATTCTTGTTTCCCATCTTTCAATTATTATCTATGATATTTGGTTTTCATTTTCTTGAGATGTTACAGTACACTGGATATCTATTATTTTACTTTCTGGTATTTTTTTTTATCAGAATCTTTGGTTCTTTAACAGTTCTTGTTGATTTGCATTTGTTTAAGAAAGTGATCTCATAAAACTTATCTCTATTTCTATTTATAATGCAAGCACCATTACTGAATATGCCATTTGCATATCCTTTGCACTGGAACAAAGTTGTTCCCTAGTTTTCTGCTTATTCTTTATAGTTAAAGTATATCAGTTCCTTTTTTGATCTTGAAATATTTCTCCAGATTAATTTTGCTAGACTTTTGTTCAAAATATATCAGGTTTTTTGCCTCTTGTCTCTACTTAAGTTGAGTTTTAGGTAGTCAGGTTCCCATGAGATATTGCTATCACACCATTTCTCCATGATTTCTTCTATTGTTTTTGATAATAATAAGTATGATAATCTATCATTCCAATCTGGAATTGGTCCTTTACTTGTTTCCTGAAGAAGTTAAATCAACCTCTACTCTTTTAGTCTTATGGTTTCCTTCTCTACAATATGATCTAGGTACATTAGTCTATTGTTATACAGGGATGGAATAGCTTTTCTATATTCTTCTTTCGATAGATATTCCTGAATTGAGTTGTTTCTCTTTTTCTATTTGAAAGTTTTATCCCATTTCTAGCTTTGGAAAGTTATCTCTAGATCCTTTACAATTTTGAGT